AGGTAAAAAAGAAAAAGGAACAATATTTGTGGGGCAAATAGAAAGCAACATACCTAGATGAAGAAATAAACCCAAGTATATTAATGCTAATGTTAGTAAATGTAGTAAATGTTTTATTTAAAAGTAAAACATTATCAAAAGAAGAGGTGGAATTGTCTCAAAATGTCCCTTGCCCAGAAGAAAGACTGGGTAGCTCAGAAGAAGGTAAGCTTCCTCAGAGTTCAGGGGAGGGTTGCTAAGGGCTAAACCAAACAATTTCCTATGAAGATTTTTCATATAAAGACAATAAACATGTCAATAGAGCAAATAAACAAACAAACAGAAAACAAAACAAAACAAAAAGCAAGAGCTTATCTAACTTTATACCATTTACAACAGACACTTAAAAAACATAAGGATACTTTCACTAGAAAAGCTGAAAGTAAAGAAATGGAAAAATATACACTGTGGTTTTGAGCCCATAATTTCCTTAAAGGGAAAACTGTGCCAAAAATACACATCTAATGCCAGATACTTTAAGTGTTTTAAAGTGTCTGTTGTATTACAAGTATTGGATTACAGGCTTAGACCCACGAGCTGCCCAAATTTGTATTTCTTTGATGCTTTACTGTATGTCTCATTTTTGACTTAAGGCCATCAACACAGCTTCATAGCAGTCAAAACCATAGGTGGTGTTTATAAGGTGGTAATTTATTTCACCATGGTATTTACAATATTCCTCTCTGTCAAACAGACTGATTTAATTGTTCAGTTAGATAAACTGGAATCAATATGTAATTGCTTAAAGAGAGCACAAAGTGTTAAGAAGGAAGCTTTAAAAGCTGCTTTTTCTGGTGTGGAACTAAAACTACCTTTTTAGATTACTAGATAGAAATGATTTAAATGATGTTTTTGACTTACTGCTATTTCACATCTAACTGGAACTGTTGTACAGCATTCCACATAAATCCTACTTACATATAAAGAAAAATTTCCTGTTTAATCCTTAACTGTGGTAAAGACTGCTTGAACATTTTCATCAGAGGATCTGTCAAGGCAGTTAATAAATACAAGTTGAATAAATGGGTAGGAGAATTCTGGATTGCGAAGGTGAAGAAAAGTGTGCAGAGTTGGAATGGAAGGGTGGATTTTCTTGAGATGGAAAATACGCTTAAACTAAACATGACCTTCCGAATGTTTGCGTAGACAAAAAGCCAATTTAATGAGTTCATTTTTGAGAAATCCATCCCTAAAATTGTACACATCAATCATCCCAGAAAAGAGTCGGGGGAGGCACAGAGTGGACCCACGCAGGAGTTCCATTGTGGTGTCCTAGGACTTCCCTGAGTGTGTGGGTTGCCTGTACCAGTCCATGATCTATCTGGACCAGCTGAGATTGGGGGGAGCCTGCTGCATGAAGATCCTGATGGGAGGGGGTACCTGCCTCTCTGTCTCTCTCTCTCAATCTCTACATCTCTGACTCTCTAATAAGAGAAACAAATAGAGTTTAAAAATAACAATTCAAGGTTCTACCACTACATAATATGAATCTCTATACAATGCGTACACAGTCAGTAATAAAGAACAATGAATAATTTTGAGATGTGAACATAGAGTGACTGCATAGGACACCAACTGGCAAGTTATACCAGCCTGGAAGCTTATAACATACAAATGCGTGCCTTTGCAAAATTATAAAATATCCATCTACAGGGTTAATAGCCAATGGCGGAATCTGTGAATGTTGATCTGACGAACTTTAGATTTCTACCTACTCTTCTCTTCCTATAACTTGAAGAGTGTGGAAAAATGTTATTGTAATTAAGAATAATCCTGGATAAAATTTACTGTCAGAAGATGCTACTAATTTTGCATTTAATTTCCTGAAATGTCAGCCATGAATACTGATAAAGATAAAATCCAGATGGACAAATCGATCTTTACTATGAGCAGCACATTAATTTTTTTCCCCTTACAATATGGTCCATATCATCTCTGTTTAGGAAATTGCCTTGAATTATCCATCTAAGTCATTGTTTGCACAAGAATCCTTGGCCACATTTAGATTCAGATACTTACTGGCTGATGAGTATTGCTAGAGTACACTGAAATTTGATACGTAATGTGGCAATGCTGGGAGGTGGGGCCTGTTGCCAGGTGCTTGGGATATGAGGTGGATCCCTTATGAGTAGATTAATGTCTTCTGGGAAGGAGCTCACTGACAGTTCCCTTGAGAAAAGGTGATACAAAGCAAACCTGCCACTGGTGTGTTTCTCCTTGCACGAGCTCTCTGACCATTCCCCTTTTCTCAGTTATTTCCTGATATCGCACCAGAAGCCAGTCAGAGGTTGGCCCTAAGCTCTTGGTCTTCTCAACCCCCCAAGAGAAGTCTTGTAAACCACCCAGTCTTAGAAATTCTGTTCTAGCAACACAAAGGGACTAGGAAAGGCACCGTTGGAATAATCCATATTTTCTGAATTATTCTGCTCTCTAAATGGTCAACTAAAGGCCAGGCTTTCACTAGCCCAATAGATTATTTATGTAATATCAATTAGTCTCCTCTTGCCTGTTTAACTGACTCATGAGAGACTGTCTTAGAGATAACCGAGAGCGATCATGAGGGTGATGATGTTGGTGGTGCAGCTGTTCTAAAATGTGCCAGGGGTTTGTTCTAGTCAGAGACAGCAGCCCTGGAAACTGTGGTTATGAGGGAAGAAGCTTGCACTCACAGATCGCTAGAAAGCGGCAGCCTGGATGTCACACAGAGCCATGTGGGGAAGCACCAGGTCTGGTCAGGAGACAGGCAGAAAGAAGGAGCAGGCAGGGTGTGCCCAGAGCCTTTATGAGGGTTTGCAGGATGGAGTGGGTGAGGCAGGGTAGGCATGCTGAGTGTTTAGGACTGGATCGTTTGATGGTGTTGATAGACTCTGGGCTGCAGGACTGGTCCCTGGATGTCCAGCACCTGGCTCTGGGGTCGCGTAGGGCAGGCAGGGGAAACTGGCTTGGTAAGTGAATTTGATACAGGAGATGGGTACAGGTGTGGGCTCTGTATGGTTTAGTTTGTACATCAAGTGGGGGTTGCGGAGGAGTCATTTACTTCTCTAGGAATTAGCAATCCTAGAAGAGCCATCTCTCCAGGATTGAGGGCCTAAATGCCAGAAAAGTAAGAATATAGAAAATAAGAAAATATGGGGCTGGCAGGTGGTATGGTAGTTAGGGCACTGGATTTTCACATGGCCAACATCGTTCAAATCCCAGACCCGGAGGCTTGCTTTCCTACTTTCCCTTTCTCTCTCTGGTCAAATTAAACAAATAATAATGATGATAACAAATGAAATAAAATAATTCTTTTTTTTTTTAAAAAAAGGAAGCTACTCTTTCTGAAAAGATAAGAAAATGTAGTCAATGAGAGAGTCTTGTCTATGTAATCATACGAATAAATCTATGAATCGCTACTTGTCTGGATCTTTAAAAAATGAGTGTAACTATTGGAAAGTTAAATATATAGATCAGAATTCCACAGTGTTGCTTTTGGTAACATGTTGATAGTTGAATTTCCCACAAATAAAATCTTCCCAAGGCTGAAAAGAAAACAAAGTGGTTGACAGAGCAACTCTTCATTAGTAAGATTGAGATGAGAAACAAAGAGAGAGGAGGAGAAGCCAGAACTGGCGAGAGCTTTTCCAGTCACTAGGCACAAATGACCTCAGAGGCACACGTTTGGAAGATGCCTGACAGATAATCAAGGCAATACAGATTATTTTGGCATTTATGCGTGGGAGTACACTCAGTTTGGGTGTAGAGATTTTAAAACGTTGCCTCTAACGTGGGTAGAGATGAGCAGCCTTCTACATTGAATTCTCCAGTCTAAGGGTATTAAAAGCCTTCTCGTACAGATAACTTATAAGAATGGCCCTGCTGGTGACAGACAGGCAGACCGCCATACTGGCAGGGAGCTAACAGGTACACAACGAAGGTCCCAGGTTGCTTCTAGAAGGGAGTCTAATATCTCTATCCCTTACTTCCCTCTTCCTTGGTATGAAATGGTGGGGTCAGGGGAGCTCAAAGCTTTCATCCAACCATGACATACACACATGTGTGCACTACACACACACACACACACACACACACACACACACACACTTTCATTATACTCCTAGAATCTGCCTCCTTAAAATAAAATGGTTACAGGCCCAGCTACAGCGGCACATTTGGGAGGGTGTCACTGTGTGGTGGCTTAGGCCTCATACTAGGTGCAGGATCGGTTCCCAGCCCAGCCTAAACTGGCCAGGTGCAGTGGCACACAGCAGCCATTCTAGCTAACTGGGAGGCTGGACATGGTGAGACCCTATCAAAAATACCTATGTTTCATGGGGTCAGCAGGTGGCATAGTGGTTAAGGTGCTGGACTCCCCACATGGTCAACCACAATTCAAGTCCCAGACCTGGTGGCTTGAAACACACTGGGCATGTGTATATGTGCATGCCCAAGATCCTGAGAGGAAAAATAAAGGAGAAGGGATTGTGGTTTGGCCATCCCCTCTGTCTCTGTCACTCTGGCAAGTGCATACACCCTATAGGAAATATCTCAAAAACAAAACCAAAAAACTATGTCTCTCTTTCCATCCCATTCTTTCTTTCTCTCTACCTCCCATAAAAACAATAAAAAAAATATAGTGGTTACACTGAAGTAGTTACTTATGAGTGAGTAGTGAATTAGGCTTGATACTGGCCTACAGTCCTACAGACTTATATGCCTCATCCACTCGGCAGATCCTAAGTCTGATGGGTATAAACAGCTTTTATGCTTAACACATCTGCATTTAAAGGATTGATTAGGGACTTTAAAGTGTTATTGGACAAGTAGGTGGTTTAATCCATTCATTTGGTAACCTCATGCTTTATTACCAAGGTCTACCCTGAGTGGCGTTTCTCATGTGGGTGACCTAATCTTGTACCCACCACAGGCCAAGGAAAGTGCCTGCCAATTCTTTCCTGTAGGCTCTAAAAATCAATTCATACCTTAGAGGTATCATCGCCTTCGTCTTCATGCACAGAGCTGGATGGTGACGGAGTTGCGGACTTACTTCCCGGTGGAGACGGCGAGTTGTGGGGAACATTGCTTCCTCCCATGTTCAAACCCAGCTGAGCGCTCAGCTGTGACTGGTTAATGGTGGTGAGCTGGCCGTGCTGCAGCATTCCCGGCTGTGGTCTGATGTCCGCAGCCGCCTGACCCCTGGGTCTCATGGCCGCCATCTGAGGATGGGAGCTGTACTGCGATCCCTCTGGATTCCGTATTTCTTGCATCTGCAATAAATACATACATCAGGAATAATTTTTCAATTTTTTATTTTTTAAATTCTTTAAACTGTAGGATGTCCCGCTGAGCTACACATGTATTTATTTTCGTTGGGATAAAGTCATCCTAACAGTATATACTGCTTCAGAGGATGCCAAGAGAACACAATTTGAGAATTCAATCAACATCACATTTCATTACTCAAGACTTGATTAATTATACTGACAGTCTTTCTGCACTAATGAAAGATAGACATATATCATTGATACACATAATTATATAGTATATCATAATCGCAATACATTTACATAATGTAAGTTTTAAAATGTTGATGCTTATTAGAGTATCTGTCAAAATTATACAATTATTAGTGATTACAGCATTCACAGCAATTCATTAAACCCTGTTATTTTATTCTGATCATTTAGGAAAGGACTTGGGAGTTCATAAGAGTCTTATTGTTCTCAGTTTCATTCTTTACAAGGTAGTACTGGCCAAAATGATCTAACTACTAGACTCAGGACACTTACAGGCTGGTATTAACCAATTGATTAATTGACTATTGAAATGACTGCACAGTCAGATTTGAAAGTAAAGCTCTAAAGTTGCAAGGTCACCATATCAATCCATTATGCTATCTGGGTCACTGCTTTTTAGTCTTAATGAGACTCACTCTTGTAATTCAAGCAATGAATTTCGTCTCTGCAAGGATTAAAATTAAAAGCATTGGAGGATGAAGCTCTTAACGTATCTAGAGGTCAAATGTGTTGTATAAGAGGAGCATGGTGGATTTCACTTAACATTTCTCTAGCATTTTCAAACTTAATAGGGAATTTTTTCGTAGTGCTTATAGAAGCAACTCAGTGTTTTCACTCTAAGGGTACATGGGGAATTTAGACAGGTACAGGCTGCACAGAGCAAGAGAGAGATAAAAAGAAAACTATGGGGAAAAAGCAAGGCAGTGAAGGGGTATACAATTGGAGTTACAAGTTAGAACAGAAAAATCAAATTAATAATGTTATTTTACTCTCTTGCATTAGGAAAAAAATCCCAGGGCCAGCAGCTGGAGTGTTCGTTAAGGCACTGGTCCCTACGTGGCTGACCACCGTTCAAATCCCAGATCTGGTGACCTGAAAATCACACCGGGAACGTGCATGCCCAAAATGCCGAGAGAAGAATGGAGGAGAAGGGACTGCAGAGTGTCCAGACCCCTGAGAAGTGATTTTCACTTTCTTTCTCTCTGTATCTCTCTTTCTCTCTCCTTTCAGGTGAGTAAACACACCTTAAAAAAAAAAGAAAAGAAAAAAAATAAACTAAAAAGAAAAGAACCCATATAGTGTCAGATGCTTAGTAATTGCCTTCCACCAGTGTCACTGTGACATAAAAATACTGTCATGCCAATTAATCAGCCTTGTCATAGGCTTTTATTTTTGTGTTTTTTTTTTTTTTCCTTGTGATAATCAAAGCATTTTCTACCAATACACTCTTAATTTTACCAGCCCAATTAGACTCATCTGAAAATGTGGCTGCCCAGGGGTCCCAGGCCTGCCCTGCCTTCCCTGAGATAGGTTTACTGCCTCCACCAGTAGGGAGGGGTGGCCCATTAGTCAATTCCATCCTTTCGGATGTTTACAATAGTGGCTCCACTTCCACCTTCAGATTCAGTTCCAGGTGTCCTAGACTTCCAGCTCTTGGTGAAGGCTAGGCTGGCCCCTTAAATTCAGACCTAGTACTCTTCTAATCCAAATCAACATTTTTCCATTATCCAAACCATACTCCTCTAATCCTTGAAAAGTAGTTCATAATTCTTTTCATGAAGTCCCTTACTAAGAAGTTATTACTTCATGGTGCTACATATTAGAGCTGAAAGGACTCTCAGTGACATTCCCTTAGTCTAAGAAGCAGAAAGTTGGTGGGGGGAGGATATTGTGAGCTTGTTGAGTGTTTGCTGAATAAAGATATTAAAAAATCTAAGGACTGGGACCAGCAGTTGGAGTAAAGGCTATGTCACTGGACTTTGATGTAGTCGACCGTGGTTCAAGTCCTGACCTGGTGTCTTAAACTCATGCCAGGCGCTTCTGCATGCGTACCCAAGATCCCAAGAGGAGAATGGAGGAGAAAGGATTGTGACATGGCCATACCCCCTGGGGGGATGATTTTTCGCTTTCTGTCTCTCTCCATCTTTCATGGTGAGTGTGTATGCCTTATAGCAAAAAACCTCTAAAAAACAAAACAAAACAAACAAACAAACAAAAAAAACAAAAAAAAAAAAAACAAACTAGGGACCAGCAGTTGGAAAACAACAAAAAAAACAACCCATTAAAAAACAACACCAATAA